GAATATCATCAGCAAAAATTGAAGCGGTTTAAATGGCTTTACTGCAGAGCAATTACTATACGCAATGAAATATAAATGTCACTGTCATTTGATGCTGGATGTGGTGAATAAGCTGCCAGTGATCAAAATATTGAATATGAAGTCATTGAAAATGAGAATTCTTCAATATTTTGAGAATATAGCTGAGATTGTGAATATGAGGCAGATGCTGAATGTACTGTGGAAGTGCTCTCTGACGATGACAGCGATGGTAAAATCATCTGCTCAAATTGAACCCTTTTAAATTTCAAAAGGTAACAAAATATGCTTCATTTTATTCTTCTGTAATTGTTCTTAAAATATCAAGAGCGTTTTTTGCTATTGCAGCAGTTAAAGAAAGATCCATCCGTGCTGTATAGGTCCGGGTTGCTAAAGACCCGAATGTAATAATGATTGGCAAAACATTCATGCATTTAAGTGTTAATGGAGGTTTACATTTTTTTTTTAATGCACATGCAATTCAAATATAACTGATCGAACAAAAACAGTGGAGATCTGACAAAAACAGGTCTCAGAGAGGTGTTTATAACAAATAAAAATGAAAATGAAAGCACATGGAGTTGGCAGAGTGTGAGGGTCGTGGCGGGATGCGAATCCGTCACTCATGGTGCACCTCGGTGTCGGACAAACAGAAGAAGTGAGGAATATTTAACAGCAGCGGTCACACTGATGATGAGGCGAGCACCAGTGAAGTTTCTCAGGCCCGCTCCGTGTGTCTGCTGGGCGGCGATCAAACGGACAGAGCAGCGCTTTTCATGAGTGGAGATCGCTACTAGACGAATCATGTAATTTGTTAGTTTTATTATCTCTGTTCTCTTTTGTCTAAGTTATGCTATTACTCCAGTAATTTTTACTAGCCTATCCAGCGCTCCCTGAACGTAGTCTCTGGCTTATTGCCAGTCAAGCGCAATGCTGCAGGGATCTCATCATAAAGTCTTTCCGAGTCACAGGGTTCAAGTCTCGAGTCATTGCTGTCAAAGTCTAAGTCGAGTCTCTTTAATTATTTCGAGTCGAGTCGCAAGTCATCAAATTTGGGACTCGAGTCCGAGTCAAGCCTCGAGTCAAGTGACTCGAGTCCACATCCCTGCAAGACGGACAGTTGTTCTGACCTCTCGAAGTGGAGCAGATACCAACGAGATCAAAATGCGGATATCTCGTTATTCACGCTTACATGCTGTGTTGCTAATAAACATGATATAATTTCAGTTCTGTTGCTTTTATATGAAAATAAATATGATGAACAAGACACTCAAAGTGCTTGCTATTTAATTCCATACGAAAGGTGTATTCATCATCCATTTTTACTTTAATACAAACATGTAATTTATATTTTTATAGAAATATGACATTATCACATTATCTCACACAGAGATCGCACTGTCATAGTGTTTGGGAACATTCATGCATAATTTTAATACATAATCACATGAAATCAGATAAAATATTTCAGAAGAGAAAAGGCGTGACAGGTGTCTGAACCAATGAGCATTAAGCTGTGTCGTCAGTCAGTCGTTTCCCATCATGCTTTTGATCAGCGCAGTCTGCGGAGAGCAACTGCGCTCGACTGCACAAACTGACGCAGCTGCCTCGCCGTCGCGAGAGTTTTTTTGCACACGTCAGCATGACATTAGAGCAACTCGGAGGTAAGTCGGACACTTTTCTAACCGGCATGCATCTCGCGGTGATCGGTTCTGCGCAGATTTTGCTCATCTCAAACAAGCCTGTTTTCAACTTTTGCTGCGAGCGACGGACCTACAATTCATTTCGCCAAAGCTTGACGTCACTCCATTCAAATTAAACGAGAGGCGTTGATGCTGACGCCCCGTGAGAATGGGGCATTAGTGAGAGGAGAGACACGTTTGAAGTGTGGTTTTGTGCGAGAGCAAAGGAAATCCGCGTGCAAGTGGAGAGATTCGCGTTCGCACATTATTTTAATGTGCTTTCGCGGTAAAGTAATGCGCTCTCTACATTTGTCATTAAAATAACCCCATACTAGTGCTGCATTCTTATTGGCTCACTTACATTGACGTGATTAACCCCTTAGGTATCGAAGTTTGGCGAACGGCAAGAGGTTTTTCGATACTTAATGGTATCGAGGCAATTCGGTCGGTGCCTAAAAAGTATTGCTCTCGATACTTTGGCCCTATTTATACATACATGTAGGCGCTATCATGTGAGCTTGCTGAGTAGCGAAACTGCAAAATATGTTATTTAAATAAACTTTCATAACAATGGTATTTAAATTTGACAGCTATTCATCAATCATGCCACTGGGGTGTTTCTATTTCCCTGTGAGAAATGTTACCATAGCTTGAAAAACAAGAAGCAATATGATCATTATTTGTTCTTTCAGTGCTTATGTAAGGAGAAATACAATGAAATTAATAATTAGTAGGCTAATTAAAGTAGCTTCAGATTTAAATAATGCTGTAAAATCAAATGGGAATAAAAGAATTTAAGTTTTAGCTTGAATGTGATTGCGGTTGGATGGAATTTTGGAATTATTATAAGTCTTGGTTTTACAGGGTTATGGTTATAAAAGAGATAATTAGATGTTAGGATATAGTTGAAAAGGTTAAAATGCATGTTTACAAATAAGTTCTTTCCAAGGGCTAGTTTTATGTTGAGGAAGAAAGAGCAGAAGAAGCCCTCACCCAATCAATACAGTATAAGTTGTCTTTGTGTAGAAGAACAAGTATGTCTCTTTGAGATCATTTGACATAGAGTGCGCTCTTTAATCATTTGTAGCTTGAAGAAATGGCATTATATATAGCAAAAACGTTTATTTAAAGTGATGTACAGTGCGTTCAAGATTCCCTGGGAACCAAATTCATGATCTTCGTGTTGCTAGCTCCATTCTCTACCAGCTGAGCTATAGAAACCCACAAATCAATTGGTTGGTTATTGTGTTTTGTACTTGATCAAAACCCTTTCATTCAGTTCATTATATATTAATAAATACTTGGAATTCTTCAAGGACGCACATCTACAGTAGGTGGTCCACATGTCATTCAGGTTTCTGAAAATTTAGTGTGCATATCTGGAATGCTGTGTCCACCTGCTTCTGTAAAGTCAGACAAAAAAGTTTTATTTACAGTTGTTCCAGTAATTCTGCATCTGAATACATCTAAACAATTTCAACATGTTTGTGTGTTCAGGGAATTTCTGTCAGGAGGAAGTTCTTAATAAAGAACATACCCTGAAGTCTATGAAACTGTCTTTTTGCATTTAACACAGCTCTTTTTTTTTTTGTGATGAAGCTCTTTACTCATTTCTTACTTAGCAAAGGTAAGATCACTTTCTATTGCATTATACAGTATATTACAAACTTTACACTCACATTAACATAATTATTGAGATTAAATAACTTAAGTATGTTTTTTTAAAGGTAAGAAGCTGTTTATGTCTTAATATATTTACATATATTATATGTCTCTATATTTGTAATAACAATAATAATAAAAATAATAATTTTGATAGCAATAATTTATTTCTTGTTTCAAATCATATATTATTTGTTCCAATATATTTAAAGGGATCATATGATGCTGCTAAAAATAACATTATTTGGTGTAATGAAATGTGTTTATGCTGTTTAAGGTAAAAAAAAAAACACATTATTTTCCACATACTGTACATTATTGTTTCTCCTCTAGGCCCCGCCTTTCTGAAACGCATCGATTTTTACAAAGCTCATCGGTCTGAAAAGCGAGGTGTGCACTGATTGTCCAGCTATCCAGTGCGTTGTGATTGGCCGAATACCTCAAGCGTGTGACGGAAATGTTAAGAAATGTTAATGTTAACGCCCTTACCATATTGTGATAACCCATTATAAACAAGGCATTTATTGCATCCAGTGGGGACATAATTATGGATTATAATGACTTATACTGTCTTTTTACGCGTTGCGTTGCATCGCACTGCGTAAACATAAAACCATGTCTGCATTTGTGATCAGAGAAATGGCAAACAACAAGTGCTACTCTACACTGGCCAAAAAACTCGGGTTTGAATCGTCAGTGGCAAATTCTTTAAATATAAAAAAACGTACTTACAGTCTGTGAGTCAGAACAGCCGGCATTGTAGTCTACTCTACCAGGATCAGAAAACAGTTCTCCATAAAATGCGCTGCACACATCTGAATATTTGGGTTAAACTGTTCTGGAACAGTGTTGTAAATACAACTTTAACACCGATTTCTAGTCGTGTCCTCTTTTGGAAGGCCAAACAAAGTAGTTTCGCTTTCACAACGAAACACAGCGCCTTCACGACATGGCGGCAGCAACAATACAGCAGCGAGAATAAAAGTTACGCCTTCTTTCTTTGCATGAACATTTGGGCAGCATTATACAAATCTTCCCAGATAGTGACGTAGATGTGGGGGTGTGTTAGAACGAGCCGTTTTAGGTAGGCGTGGTTGACTCTTGACTTTTATAAAGAATATCTCTTTGGATTTGAGACTTTAGTCTTTGCAATTTTACAGATCTTCTTTATGCACCAAGAGCTTGTAACACTCCAAAGAGAAAGGAAAAATTGAAATCGCATCATATGACCCCTTTAAAAATGAATAGGCTAACTGTTGAAACAACATTTCCCAAAAAAATTTAAAAGATTTTGAAGAACTACAGTCAAGTTTAAAGGAATATAAATAGCTATCATTATGTTTTATGCAATTAAGGAACGGATGCAACATGTTGATTTTTTTTGCCTTTCAGATTAGTTATGAAATGACCATGTCAGTGAGACGTTTGTCTGTATGATTCAGTCCCACTACATGTTGCAGTGAACAGTATTGAAGCTTCCAGAGGCTGAGCGGAGAATTTGCTACTCACAGCTGTGGGTTAAAAAAAAACTTTTTGTGGAAAAGTTCATTTATTTCAGTAATTCAACTCAAATTGTGTTGTTCAAATTGATCATATGATGCTTTTTTAAAGATCATTATTTTGTGTATTTGGTGTAACAGAATATGTTGACATGCTTTATCTCTCTCTCTCGCGCCCGCACACACTCTCTCTCTGTCTCTCGCGCGCGCGCGCTCTCTCTCTCTCTCTCTCTCTCTCTCTCTCGTGCTGAATCACACAAAAGAAACTTTGATGAGCGGATGTTGCTTGAAAACATTCAAGATGATTGTAAGGCGAACCCATTGAGAGTTGGAATACCCCAAATATTCCTGGTATCTTCATTTCATTTGGAAAAATATGACTTTCAGAAGCTGATCAATACCCTCAAAGATGAACTCCCAGAGAATGCTCTCATTCAGTTTCTGCCCGTTTATTCTCTAGAGGCCCTCACAAAGAAAAAAACATACTACAAGAAAATTATTTGGCTAAATGCATTTGCGGCAGGAGTCGGGGCGATAGCTCCCATCCCGGGATTGTCATTGGTCTGTGATTATGGCATCATGAAGAAGTTTTTTCATTAAGTCTTCACAGGCTTTGGCTTATCAAATCAGGCTTTAGAGGCATTATCAGACCGAGTGAACAAACCGGTGGAGCAGCTAAAAGCCGCTAAGACATCACGATTCAAAGAGAGGGCCACTGAGGATATTGTGATTGATATGCTGTCTAAACCAATGATTGCTATAGCCAAGACACTGGGGACCGTAATGGCTCTGCTGCCAGGAGGAGATCTACCAGCAGGAGGAACGGCCATCGCTTCTGCACTACCTGCTTAACAT